TGTGCTACTTGGCAGAAATTGTGCCAGTTTGCTCAAATCATGCTAGTATAATCTATAAAGGCCTATTAGCCTCTGATCAGAGCATGGTATGTTATATTGATTGACCACCAATTAACGTGGCTTTCTCTGTGTAACGGGATAAGCACGGTATTGGCACATAAGGTCGACCTCAAGGAAAAAATGAAAATGAAATGTTGACGTCATGATGAACCTCGCTTCCAGGATCTCTCCTCTAAGTTGACGTGTCGCGGGTCGCGCAATTCTTGTACCCAGACTTCGCACGACTAAACGGTTCAGACGTGAAACGCTGTTCTGTTCATGACTCCAATGAAGAAATTATTGAATTTTCTTTCTAGTTTCTAAACTAACGATTTAATTGGCTTTAATATGCAGTTAAATGAAAAATTTAGAAAAAAAAACTGAAAATATATACAATCCACACGCGAGAACTCTGCTCCCTCTTTAAGTTTCCCTTCTAGGACAATAACAATACAATTATTTCTCAAGTACCGCGGAATTTTATCGGTCGCCGACAGGTTCCTTTTTGTTGCCATTCGCTCCAATAACATGGTCAAAGAAGAGAAAGAAGTCTGAAAGTTCAAGCGCAAAGCTCTTATCTTGACGCATACAAACATGAACAGTGGGGTTCAATAATATTTTTAACCCTTAGGGCCACCGTTTATTTCTAAAACCTTTGCTTACAGATATGGTTTGATTTTTAAAGTCTACCTCATTCTAATCTCCTCCACATAGATGAGATACTCCACAATATCTCATACTTCTGACTCAAAATTACACGCGAGGTTTGCCAGTCAAAATTCCCTTGATGCAATCCTCGAGATGGTCCAGGGAAGGATTTCCCCTGAATTTCTTCACCTTGCAGGTTAAAAATTCTCCTTTCATCCAAACCAGTTGGAATCCAATCATTCTTGGTCCTCTCCGTAAAAAAAACTATCTCCAATCTGTCCATAAGTTCTTTGTTTCCTGTGAACTAGCCATGTATCACTTTGCCGTCGAAAGTGATCAAATCATCTTCGATTTCTTGGCGTTTGTTTTGAATAAGAGACGATGCTTGACGAGATCCTGTCAACATAACACAGCTGCTGCGAGAAAGTTCTTTCTTAAAATCCTGTTCCTCTGCCAGAATGTCGGTGATATTTCGTAGATCTGCCACTTTTCAGCTTTAGTGCTGTCGCTTTGAGAATACAGGAACAAAACGCATTTCATTTTCAGTGATGAACGTGTGGACAACCGAGACAGATAAACACGCTCGTCAAGTGTAACAATGAATTTCGGCTCATCCTCGCTGTAAAAACCTGTGAAGCTCACGAGTGACATAAAACAAAGACAACAAAACATTTTAAACAATAGCGTACAGCAAAAAAAATACCTCATGAAACAAAGAAGACCTCGTCAGGTTTTTACACCGAGGAGGAACCTGAATTTCTTTCTGTAAACTTAAATAATTCGAAGGAATTTCCGCTTCTTTAAATCTTACATGGGAAATCAAACACACCTTTGTTCGCTTTATAAACCACAGTCGACAAAACTGCTTCAAGTTTACCCTATACCCTCAATCAGACAATAAACAACTTTTCACTGGTAAATAGGGTACTAGCTGCCGCACAAGATTAGAAGCTCCACACGGATTGAGCCCGGCTTCCGGCGAGCAACAGAACCAATTTATTGATTGTAACGTCAAACATGATGTTTAAATATAAGTCTCTTTCTTCTTGACTGTTATGATGGCTAGAAAGGTACATAACCTCAAAATATGTTTCTGTTGGATTAATTCAAAATTATTTATGATTTCTTCTGAAACGAACTGTCAGTTGAAATAGAGCTTTTTGCTCTATTACAACTGAAATGTAAGATATTCTTTTACATTTCTTGATAAAAGCATACTGATTGAAATATCCTCAAACTTTGATATTATGAAATGAATATTTAACTTTATCACTGCCTTGTGTTTTGTAGATAACTAAGTTCTTGGTGATTCTATTGGAAAGTGAACTAAACTCAGACAACAGATATGAGATGTTCAGAGATGTGGAAGACAAAACAGGAAAGACATTGCTACACTGCTGCAGAACTTGGCTTTTTACATGTCACTAAAACACTTGTGAAGAAATGTCCAGGATTGCTCGCTCTGAAAACAGTGGCTCAGCTTAAACCCAAGAAGAAAAGAGGCTTGTTACCAGTTGAATTGGCTCTAATAGCAGAGAATGATGAAGTTGCAGCTTAAATGATTAGAATAATGTGGCATGAAACGTATCTAAGTTATAAGTGCAATGACTAATAATATCTTGGAGACATTTGGAACCGAAACAACGTGAAGGAAAAAAAAGAAGCTTTAAGTAAGAGATTGGAAAAAAGGAGGAAATTAAGGCTGTATTAAAAACATAATGATAAAAAATGAGCTGTTGCTGAAGAAAAGGATCCAGATTTAAAACCAAAACTCTTCAAAATAGCACGAACCGTACTCTCTTATTCTCGTGTGCCTTACAACAAAGGGTCACAATTAATATATCTTAAAGAACGTTTTGTTGTGTAGTATGGCTGATTATTACACGACTCGGGCAGTCAGAGGGCCAATAACTAAAATCAACCAATCAAAATGCTCTATTGCCGGTCCAATATTCTCTAAGTATTGGACCGGGCACTGTCCCGAATGGTCCCGAATGATACCGCACTTGTGTTGCTTTGAACTTCAGTCGTATAATAAATCTCTTACCAACCAAGCTTGCTCGGGGCCGTACTGGAAGATTATCGGCCCTCATTCTTTTTTGTACGGACCTCGCTGCGCTCGGTCCGTACTGTCAAGACCTGGGGCTGATATTCTCCCAGTACGGCCCTCGCGCTTGTTTAACAAGATATATGTATTTATACGAGTTGTGCCGTACTTTGACGAGTCAAAATACAAAAAACGAATAAAAATACTCAGTATTATTACACGACTCGGGCAGTTAGAGGGCGAATAACTAAAATCAACCAATCAAAATGCTCTATTGCCGGTCCAATATTCTCTAAGTATTGGACCAGGCACTGTCCCGAATGGTTCTGAATGATACCGCACTTGCGTCCCTATTAACTTCAGTCGTATAATAAATCTCTTATTAACCAAGCTTGCTCGGGACCGTACTGGAAGAATATCGGCCCTCGGTCTTTTTTTAAGGGACCTCGCTGCGCTCGGTCGTTACTGTCAAGACCTCGGGCCGATATTCTCCCAGTACGGCTCTCGCGCTTGGTTAATAAGATATATATACTACAAAAACAAGAATTCAATGAGAGATTTATCATCCAACTCGCCAAATTGTTATTTCACCGCGGGCGAATTTCTAGCCGTTTGTGTGGAGTACAATTACCGCGAGATATTTATACGTTTTGGGCGTTATTTATACTCTACGAAACACAGTTCGATAAAAAAATACAATACTACACTGTGTATTATAGATTGTGTGTTAAAGCGTCTTTTCGATTGCAGTATTTAAAACATAGTTCCTTTGAAGAGGTCAGCCAAAGTCCAAACACCTGGAAGCAAAGCTGGCAGAATATTCAATCACACATACATGTTGATGATATGCAAAAATTTTTTGATGCCAGTTTCTTCGTTTTCACATGCATTTAACACATAGCCACTAGTGTCTAAAAGAAATGCTCGCTTTTGATAGATGATAGCCCTACTTTGAAATTCCTTCCAGAAGAGTGCTGCATTGAACAACTTCACCAACCGAGTTAACTCCAGTGGATGGTGCTTTTGGATTTCATTGAACCATCAATTACGAATTCAAGACAGTCCAAAAATGAAAAACGTTATGCTTTTGTATACTGATAGAGAAAGTAACAAAGCTGAAAAACTAGAGGACTATTTGTAGGGTAGGCAGCGAAACTTAGCAGATTTGAGAAGCATCGGCGAAATTTCAGCAGAGGAAGGAGATTTCAGGAGCGAACTTCGCTGCCGCGGGGACTGGATCGTACTGGTTGGATCACGCCATGCTTCTTCCCTTATCAAGGGAAAACAGCAAGAGGTGGACGACGATTTCCTAACTTTTGATGGAAAGGTTATACATGAAGAGTTCACAGGAAATAAAGAATTTATCGACAAACTGATTATTGTATACTTGACGACGGAAAGAGCCACTGATGATTGGATCCCAGATGGGCTTGATGAGAGGAAGATATTTAATCTGCAAGGTGAAAAAATTGGGGAAAGTCCCTTGCTGTACCAGCTTGAGTATTCCATACGGAAAATATTGCTTGGAGATTCCTTTATGATGTAGGAAACGCACTGTTCCGTGTGTATACGATAAAGTGAAAAAATGTTTCACAAGAACTTTGATTTCCAGCTGATTGAACCGCGTATCACATTCTGAGTTTTGAGCCTTGTTAAGTGGTATTTTTCATGTGTCCTTCATAACATAAGTTAGATCTAAATTAGTGTGTACTCGTTTCTAAAGGATGGAACGGAATGCAAAGGATCTACAATCAAACTAAGGATAACACGTTATAGTTAGATTTTGATATCAATATTAGTGTAAGCAAATAAGATACTAATTGAGTAAATCAGTGATCGACGTTACATGTGTGCAACCAATTCACGGTTGTAAAAGTAAAGCATGGTTTACAAAGTTTGTGTAGAAATGAAGTCACAGTCATAAATAAACTTGCGCAAACAAGAAAACACGAAAGCGTTAACTGCTTAAAGATATTAATGAGAAGACGAGAATTAGTTGCATAGTCATGATATATGGCCTGCCAGGGCTTTCGGAGACCTCTACCAAGCACGAGAAATGTTTGGGTCTTCTGAGAATTCGAAACGCACGCCTCGTTGCACCGTAGAACTTTGAAAGAGTAGCTACTGATTGTGACGTCCACGTGGAAGCATGATTACTTCAAAAGCGGACTTTGGTATTTTCAATCCTTATGTCAAATCGCCTTGCTTTCAATCGTCATTCCTTGTATTTTCCACTGGAAGCCAGCTGTTCTAGTCGGCTCCGTTGTTTTCTAATGTGGTTATGCTTTCTTTCTAATTCAACTGTTTGTCACACCCGTTTTCCCTTTTCTTTTATTTTCAGCCATACAGTTTGTTCACAAAAATTGTCGTTGTTGTTGATTTCTTTCGCATAACAGTCCTGATTGCAGCTTTATAAATAATCTGACGAAATTCTCGTAATACCCATCGCCTCTATCTTCTCCCTTCAAAGGCAGTTAACGTCTCATATTGTCGCATAAAACTACAACTAATGGCAATTGCAAATTAATGTCTCAATTTAATGTAAACAGACACTCGTTTTAATATTGCGCAGGCCTCATCTGTTTCACCATCTTTCTCATCTTTTCCCTGAAAAAAGAAACATGGTGAAAGAAATGAACAGTAAAATGTCTACTTGAATGTGGAAAAAATGTAAATCAGTCTGAGTTCGTTGCTTTTGTTAAAGTTTGCTAGTTGATAGTTATACAAATGTCGCGCCATCTTCTAAACCAACCTAATCAGATTCAGAACTGAGACCAAGCGGGACTGAGGCACTAACGTTTCCTGTAGTCACGAACCCTTCCCAATCATTCTTAGAAATGTCACGCAACGCTCCACCCAAAAGAGGCTTCTTCCAAGAACTTGTGTGACATCTATGAGAAAGGCCACGAAGGAGATAAATGTAGCCACTCTTACAGCAGTTTTCTATTTTTTTTTACTTGAGTTCTTCCTTTCTCTTTATGCTATTTTCCTTCGTTATAATTCTTACTATAATTATTCATCTGTTGGTTTTATGACTCTCGATCGATTTGCGCTCCATGCGAGGTTCGTAGCGAGAAAGAAGGGAAAACAAGGAATTTTCATCACCTGATCGCACAAAGTTTTTCTTCGACTGACTCCCACGGATTGCGATCTTCACTGAATTCAAGAAGCTCTAGAAAAAAAACATAAGAATTGTTCTCTTCCCAATCTCTACCCCTCAAATGACATTCAACTGACCACACTCGGAGATGATATGTCTAATCAGGCATTCTGATTTGCATGTTCAGTGGAGCGCGTAGTAAAGAATTAGAATTAATTATCGTAATTGCGAATTCGCCTCGACTACGCGCGGCGGAAAAATTAGGTCATGTGATTTATAATTTAAAATGAACAATTTATGCTGTAACAACATTCGAAGCTGGTCATCAACGGTCGTAAACGTAAGCATCAAGATAAAGCATCGAGATAGCGAGTCAAGGGATCCAACTACTCAGAAACACAAATTGTAAGTTACGAAACCGTTTGTCGCTTCTTAGTGTAATAGAAAAAAATCCGAGCCCCAGATGGGCTCGCTTCGACTAAGAATATTGTAAATAATTAGGTATCTCGAAATTGTTTAATTTTCAGTTGACTACGATGTAACCACGGATGTAACGAGCCGTGTTCACTCTAGTTCAAATAAAACCTGACTACGTTGATCCCTGGTGGGCTAATCTTCAAAATAAGTAGCGCCTTCAACCATACGAGCGAATCACATTCTCAATCCCAAGTAATTCACCACCGACCTTTTGCGAGATTCATTTCACTGATCCAGTCTCCCTCCTTGTAATACTTCACACGCAAATTCTGCAGAGAGAAAAGTCGAAGTAAAACAAATCAATTACCTTCTTCCGTCCGACATGGCATTCTAAAGCGCACGCACGCGCAGTACATCTGCGCAATCGCACGTGGTTTCAATAACACAAGGCGGTGAGTGCCTCTCGTTACTAGAGTCTCATCAAGCATTTGATAGTTACCAGAAAAGGAAATCTCTCCATGCGAGTGAGTTGTAAAATCCGATCAACATCATACTCAAGGCGAGCGACTTGTTTGGCCTGAGTGTAGGTCGTACTCATTTGTGCAATGAGAATGTTGAGTAGAATTACAGTCACTGTCCCCATGTACGCCATCATCAGCAGAACTGACAGCCAGCTGCACGAAAGAAAGAAATATCCACAGAGTTTAGCTTCCCTTCTGAACACGAAAAGGTGCATAGACTCCAGATGTGATGAAAACCGGATTCTTTTATAGACTTGCTTCTCTGAAGTGGCGTTTTAAACGCGAGTAGAAGCTGCTATTACACGCGTAGAGAAGTAATAACTTAAAAGATTAGTGCCACTTACTTGAAAGTTGAGTAGTCTTCAACCATTGGATACTGATCAGACAGTGCTTGAAATCCGCTCAACAAGACGTCTCCAAAACCACTGAAAGCGTCAAATTAAAATTAGCATTACAAAAAAGAATTTTTATAGGATTACACAATTACTGGTGAACCATTAGTTTCCATTGTGGTCCTTGCAAACAAATGAAACAAATGGTCTAAATTGAACATAACATCATTAAGAACCCCAACCGGCCGGAGGCAAACCAGTTGGCTATTTACAAGCGTGGCCAAGGATCTGAACTCGGGGCTACCGTGAAACAGATCCAGTGGTCAGGATGGGACTCGAACCCGGGAGCGGCGGATTACGAGTCCGACACTCTAACCACTCGGCCACACTGCCTCCAATGTTGAGTTTGAGCATGTTGAGTTTTTGCACTTCGCATGAGTTATATCCACCAAGTTACCGCGTTCAGTAAATTGCTTTTGCAAAAGGGCGAGAATGGCTTGAATAAATAAAAAATCTAACCAGTATAAAGCATATCAAACCAAACAAACTCCAGAGGAAATTTTCGAATATTTTACTGACTTGGGGGAACCAAACCCTTTTTTATTTTTTACTAGACAACTTCATAGCTCTGTTAAGGGGATATACCCAATAGAGACGCACCGAAGTTCTTGGTTTTCACTGGATCCGGAGTAACAGAGTGATAAAGTCAATGCACCACAGAAAGAGAAAAAGATCACAACAAAAACTGCCATGGATCGTGTGACGTCATGTAATATGATTTTGGCCAAGGTTTGTGTGTATAACCCTGTAGTCCTAAAAAAGATATAAAGTAATGTTAAGTTAGATTATTACGAAGGGATGAGTTTTAAGTGATCAGCGCTTTTTCCGAACTTAAGTAATCAATTGGGAGTTGTGAGTTACCTTGACAAACACGAAAACTTAAAGATCCTCATGAAGTTGAACAAGAAGGCCAAAGATGTCACCATCCACTGAGCTTTGAGATCCATGTATCGTAACGGTATTATACACAGAATAAACAGCTGGCCCAACCAGTCAAACAGAGTCATCCACTGTGTAAAATAAGAACGCCCCTCTCTGCAAGAAATCAAACAATAGGCCATTTTACAGTTGTGTACTTAGTTGCCAAGCCTTTGATTCAGAGTGAGGCTGAAGGTGACCTTGTTGTGATAGAGACCTGTATCTACTTAGCATGATAACAAAGTGATTTACATTTGAAAGGCAGCAAGGTTTATATCATAACAAGGTCAACCCTAGCCTCACTCCCATTCAAAGGCTTGGAAACCAAGCACACAACTTTAAAATGGACTATTCGTTTAAACTTGCTCCTCCTCTAGAAGTGTTATGTTCACCAAATCATCTCAACTTTGTATAGACTGCATAACTCGTGTGCAAAAGACGAAAAGATAATAGAAATAAACCATTTACAATTCCACTGGCAAACAAAAAATCTGAAGGTCTTAAAGATATGTTTAAAAAGCAAAAGATAAGAATTCAAAATAAAAAATTTGGATTGTTCAGTGCAGCCATTTGAGCTCTATCCATTGAGCTAACCGCCTCCCGGTTAGCTCAATGGATAGAGCGCTGGACTGTTGAGCGGTTGGTCAAGGGTTCAAGTCCTGGCCAGACCAACACTCAAGGTCTTAAAATAATTGAAAATAATTTGCTGCCTTTCTATAGCATCAAGAAATGGTTAGATATTCTAGTCTTCTCGGATAGGGACGAATAAATGGAGGTCCCATCTCCTGCAGGGTTGGGGTAGGAGACATTAATTTCCCACACACAAGATTACTGTGTGATGGATGTCCTCGGCTGGGCTGGGATGGGTGGGTTTATTGGGCCCGCAGTAATTGGCGCAAGCTGTTGAGGTATCCCTGCCGGTTGGCAAAGCTATTAAATTAAATTAATTTTGATACTTCTCTTTCCGTCCGTAATTTTGCCCTGTTCTACAGTGTAACATCGTGAGTGACATATTTTGTGCTTTCATAAAATGGTAAAATGGCATAATTGTGGAATAATAATAAACAATGGTGTTAAGTCTCCTTGTTGCTGCACTAAATGATCTGATTTTACCCTAAACATTATCACTTACATTCTTATTTGATAGATTTCTTCACAGGTGTAAAACACAACCATAAGAAGAGTGACAATCTCACAGAATCCACGTAGTAAGTCCAGTGCACCACTGTAATGGGTGGGGTCCAGTTTGGTTGAAGCATGTAGCAGAGAATATGACAAACACAGCAAGAAGATCACATACAATGCGGCTTGAAGGCTACAGAAAGGAAAAGGCAGTTATCACCTCTGTTGGAGTACAATGGAGAAGGGAAAAGAAGGAAGGGTATGAAGATTAACTTGAAGATGTAAAATCTTAAGCATAACTTCTTGGTAACTTGTCAAGTATTTTTGAATCAGCAACGTTTAAGAAATAAAAAAAAAACTTAAAATATTTTCTAATATTTCGCACTTGCAATGATCTGAGAAATAAGTAGTCTGATAGACACAAATGTAATTAAGCTGTAAAATCAGATATCACCTTTCATCTGTGTACTTTGTACATGTTTGTCTAAATGAAGTTAGATGATTTGGCTGAGCCTTCACAAATACACTTGGTTTACCTGAGGAACAAATGTCCATAACGTTTCCATTTTGTTTTAATCAACATTCTGACCACAGGGTGTTGCAAAGCCTCCTAAAAATGAAAATCAGGAACTGATTTTGGGCAAAAGTATAGGTTGAGAGTGATCAAGAATTAATCTCCTGTAACCAATAAGTGAATTTGAGTGTTTCTCCTAATTCTAAATATTGACATCTGTAAGTGAAATTCCACTGAAGTTTCAGAAAATTTGATTTTCATTGGTTTAATCCTACCTTATTGTTGCTCTTTGCAATAGTATGTAAACAAGAACTGTCTCTCCAGTTAAAATATTTGTTATCTATCTGCCAGTATCCATCTAATGTCATAATCTTTGGGGGTTGTCCATCCTTATCTCCATCCAGAATATGAAAATAAAAGTGATAGTTTAATGGATCATCTGTGATTGTCTTCCATACTCCCTCAATTGCCTCCCTCTCTTCTTCTGTTTCATAGTTTTCTTGTCGCTGTGGAAGATATGGCCAGTGAGGGTTTATCATCTGGTCTAATACAGCCACTACTGTTTTCTGTAAACAACACAAATCACAACATGTTTCATCAAGAGCATTCCTGCTATAAACAGACTGTAAGTTAGACAGCAAACTGTCTATCTACTGTATGGTCAGTAATTGCCAGCACTTTGGCATCTTCCCATCTATACCAAACTCAAATTAGGCACCTCTAAAAATTTACTAGAGGGGGGTTGCAAATTAATAACACAACTGTAACAAGCTCAAGGATCAACTAGCCATTTTACTCAACCAATGTTGCTATTCACTTAGTGAAATATGACACCTGTGGTCTATTCAAAATTTTGTAAATACAACAACAAGCTCACCTTCAATTTAGGATTCTCAGTGATTCCCTTGAAACTGAGTAGGGATGGCTTAGGATTGGTCATTTTTCCTGGTGTCCAGGAAAATAAGCTTTGCACTCTTAATGCGACAAAAGAAAATAGATCATTATTTCACAGGTCTGATGTAAGTTCAAGTGTTCTGGTTAATCAGGTTACCCACAACATGCTCACTGATTTAATTCATGTAAATGAAATGTCTGTATCAATTCATTACCACATAATTTCAACCAGTTTTTCAGCATTTTGTATGGATAATTGAATGTATATTATAATAAGAAACTGGGGTGTCAACATGCAATGTAAACATTTTTTTTTTTTTTATCTTACAAAACTTATGATATGTTTCTACCTTCCATGCCACATAACTCTAACCAAAAATGCTGCCACATCATCATTCTCTGATGCTATCGCCAATTCCACAGGCAACATGGCTCTTTTTTTCACAGGTTTCTGTACATCTTCTGTTGTCATGGAAAGTAGCAGAGGAAGTTTCCTTGCGAGTGTTTTGGTGACATGTAAAAAGCCATGCTCTGCTGCATAATGCATTAGAGTCTTCTTAGTTTTATCTACTGTATCTCTGAACTTCCCATATCTCTTGTCTGAGTTTAGTTCACTCTCCAACAGAATCTCCAAATGCCGATTTATCTGCAAATTAAATACCAAAAGTAGTATCTATCAAAAAAGAAACTATACTAAAATAGGTTGGTATTTTGGTATAAGAAAGACAAATGCGTTCCTGCATGCATCAAACACTTATAATTACAAACCTGTTGTTCAAGGCCTGGAAGTTTCTCAGGATTATCTTTGAACTGTTTAGATGCTGGCCACTGTTTTAACATTAAAAGAGCTGGATCTTCGCCATCCAGTTCCCCACTATCCTTGTATTGCTGAATCAGTCTTTCAACATGAACTTCATCCATAGCTCTGTTCCATGACAACCCCTTGTTCTGCCTTTGATGAACCTTGTGTAAAATAAATCAACCTCGCTCAGCAAAGGATTGATTGAATAGATAAAAGGAGAATGCATCAAAGAAATGAGGAATGCATTCTAAACCCTCGTCTTTTAACCTATATTTCATATTTCCTTCTTGCCTTAATCCAGAACTCTTCGTCAAATTCATCTCCCATGAAATCTTGCAGATAGTCACGACAGCGATCAATTTCATGCTGATTTCCTTGTTCGCCATACTTTTCAGTGCACTTCAACTCTTGTTCTCCTTTACTCATAACTGAATCTTTTAGCACCAGCCACATTTAAGTTAGATGTGATAAATATAATCCCTGGTTCGGGGTTAAAACAACCTCTTCCATGTGCAAGTTCTCTGGATTTGATGGTCGGTATCGCGCGAGCAGCTGAACCGAGCAATAACTAAGGGGCCTTGGCCAAACTCATACCCAAGGATTTTTCGGTTTATTGTGTTGTGAAACCAAGGAGCTCCTGGGCACCAAATTAATGAAAACAAACAAGCAAATAGACAAACAAAACAAAACAAAAAGAAAACCACAACAAGACGGAACAAAACTAAACGAAATACAACAACAACAAAGTACAACTGTTATTTCACAGCAGCGTTGGCTAAATTACAGCCGGAAGATTCGAGGTGAAATTTCAAAGGTAGTAGTTGGATAGCAAGCAGCAAGAGTGTTGAGTCAGGGTCCGATCTAGGAATTTTGACAAAGAAACTCTGATTCAGATGGAAATTTTTTTCTTTTTTTTTTCCTTTTTCTATGCTCTGTAGAACCAAAGTGTGAGAGATATGTAAATTTATTTTAAAATACTTCAAGTTGAGAAGTAAAATAAGATCAATCGTGTCGTTTTGAGAATTTTGTTCTTAGAAAGAAGTAAAAAAAAAACCTCGAGTCTTACGAATTGCAAAATTAATATACTGGCTGACAAAATTACTTCAAGGTTGCATGTCAAAAACATGACCAGGAATGCAAAAAGGGCTATGTGAAATGTCAGCTTTAGAGATTCACAACACCTCTAATTGATTGCAACTATCTTGGGTTACCTAATTCGGAAATTATGCAGCCATTCAGTTGTGAAAGATGCGAGGGAATTTATTCCCAATTATAAAAAATCAGAGTGAATATTTTAAGAAAAAATTCCAGACACCAAAAATTAAGCTCGAGCTTATAATTAGGTTGGCCTGATGAGGGCTTCTATTATTTCGAGGTGCTTGAAAACTTCAATAAAGCCGGCTTCATGAAAAGTTTTCAGCCGAAAAAAAGGCCATTGATGCAATTCAATTTTCGAAAAAACCTCAACGAGTCTTTCAAATACAGCGCAATATTCATTCTACATGTAGTTCACACATTTGCTTCTAGTACTGTATATATTGTAGCTGCTAAGGCCCTTCCCGCATTGCCGACACTGCCTTTTGCAAGAACAGTTGTAGTTTCCTGTCAGACGGTTTTAAACCACAGCCTTCAAAAGCGACTTTATTCAACTTGTGTGAACATCAACAAACAAATTAGAGTCGAAAATGAAAACGTCGCTGTTTTTGTTTACAAAAAGTGAGAGCACCAAAGGAAGGCATCTTATGGATTATTTCCAAGGCAGGCTGCGAAAGATTGCAGATATGAGAAATATCACCAACATTTTGGTGAGAGAACAAGATTTTAGGGAAGAACTTTGCCTCAGTGAATGTGTTGTGTTGATTGCATCACCCAAAGCTTCGTCCCTCATCCGAAACAAGCAGCAAGAAATAGACGAGGATGACATACTTTTTGATGGCAAAGTTATGCATGAGGAGTTCACAAAAAACAAAGAACTTGTCAAGAACAGGCTCATCATTATTCACTTCGCGGAAAGGACCGAGAATGACTGGATTCCGAAAGATTTTGATGAAAACCGAATTTTTCATGTGGAAGGTGGAATTGTGCCCCTCAAAGGAAGTCCCACCTTATCACACCTTGAATATCGCATGAAGAAAATATTGCTTGGAGATGACTTTTTGTACTAAGCTCAAGGACTAGAAGGTAAAGAAGGGTTCTATCCGCGGAGAGAAAGAGTCGCAGTTGTAAAAGACTGGGTCCTAGACTGATTGCTTTAGAACTTTTGCTTGAGTGTGTCAGACAATCATCATTAATCGTAGTTATGTGTATCTTTCAACCACGAGGATTAATAGTTATTGATGTGATAATGATGAAGACAAAATTTAGCTTAAACAATGCATGGTATAGTTGATAAGTACCCTAATATTGTTTCGAGGAGACATCAGAATTTAAAAAAATATTCATGGCATTCGCTTACAGAGCTTTCTAACAACCTGTAGAGGAAAACAAATTGACCAACGTCAGGTTTACATTCTGTAAATTCCTCAATGAATGCTTAGGTCATGTCATGCTCTTTGTTTATTAATAAGTCTGCACATTTTGCTATAAAAAAAAAAAACCTGAAGATATGCTGCTATTTGCTTAATTATTATTTTTATGACGCATGAATGTACTATTGGCCCCTAGGCCTTCATAGATCATGTTAGTAAAAGTGGCATTATGCTAGTAGCATTTCTTTTTTTTTCTTGGCGAAATTATGTTAAAATTATGCTCTTTTTTCCAATTACGCCCCTTTTCTTAAAATGATGCTCTTTAAAAAAAACTGCAAATAAGTCTAAAAAATACATTTTTTAATTAAAAGCCGTTGGTCTTCAAGAAAGAAACACAATAAATCCATGATGAAATTCAAATGAACATGTGGTTCATGTTAACCCGGGCTCAGAACGTTTCAGACGCCGCTCAGTGATTCACAGTGAACTACAAATGCTACTACTTGAACTAAAACTTAAAACATCGAATAACGTCACCAAGTGCTTGGGAGTAGAGATGAAATGATCAAATTGTAGCATCAAAAATGATCCGATAATTATCAAAATATACGAATTATGCTAGCATTGTGCTACTTAGCAGAAATTATGCCAGTTTTCTCAAATTATGCCAAAAATTATGCTAGCAGAATCTATAAAGGACTATTAGCCTCTGATCAGAGCATGGTATGTTATCTTGATTGACCATCAATTAACGTGGCTTTCTCATTGTAAAGGGATAAGCACAGTATTGGCACATAAAGTCGACCTCAAGGAAAAAATGAAAATGAGATGTTGACGTCATGATGAACCTCGCTTCCAGGATCTCTCCTCTAAGTTGACGTGTATCGGGTCGCGCAATTCTCGTTCCCAGACGTAGCACGACAAAACGGTTCAGACGTGAAACGCTGGTTTGTTCATGACTCCAATGAAGAAATTATTGAATTTTCTTTCTAGTTTCTAAACTAACGATTTAATTGGCTTTAATATGCAGTTAAACGAAAAAAGAAATGAAAATATATATAATCCACACACGAGAACTTTGCTCCCTCTTTAAGTTTCCCTTCTAGAACGATAACAATACAATTATTTCTCAAGTACCGTGGAATTTTATCGGTCACCGACAGGTTCCGTTTTGTAGCTATCCGCTCCAATAACATGGTCAAAGAAGTGAAAGAAGTCGGAAAGTTCAAGCGCAAAGCTCTGACGTATGCAAACATGAACAGTTGGGATTCAATGATATTTTTAATCCTTAAGGCCACCGTTTATTTCTAAAACCTTTGCTTACAGATATGGTTTGATTTTTAAAGTCTACTGCAGTCTAATCTCCTCCACATGGATGAGATACTCCACAATATCTCATACTTCTGATTCAAAATTACACGCGAGTTTTGCCAGTCAAAATTCCCTTGATGCAGTCCTCGAGATGGTCCAGGGAAGGATTTCCTCTCTGAATTTCTTCACCTTGCAGGTTAAAAATTCTCCTTTCATCCAAACCAGTTGGAATCCAATCATTCTTGGTCCTCTCCGTAAAAAAAACTATCACCAATCTGTCCACAAGTTCTTTGTTTCCTGTGAACTCGCCATGTATCACTTTAACGTCGAAAGTGATTAAATCATCTTCGATTTCTTGGCGTTTGTTTTGAATAAGAGACGATGCATGACGAGATCCTGTCAACACGACACAGCTGCTGCGAGAAAGTTCTTTCTTAAAATCCTGTTCCTCTGCCAGAATGTCGGTGATATTTCGTAGATCTGCCACTTTTCGCAGCTTGCCTTGCAAGTAATCCTTAAGCTGTTCAGCTTTAGCGCTGTCGCTTTCAGAATACAGGAACAAAACGCATTTCATTTTCAGTGATGAACGTGTGGACAACTGAGACAGATAAACACGCTCGTCAAGTGTAACAATAATGAATTTCCGTCTGTAAACTTAAATAATTCGAAGGAATTTCCACTTCTTTAAATCTTAGATGGGAAATCAAACACACCTTTGTTCCCTATATAAACCACATGCGACAAAACTGCTTCAATATTCCATAGTTCTTTAAATTATGCTTTGAATGGCCAAGAAATATATCACGGCTACTGATCACAAATAATTTACCACATCACGACTTTAATTATTTCAAGTGCTCTGCTTTCAAAAATGATTAAAGAGGTGTCAACAAACATTTAAAAGCAGCCAATAAACAAGGCTAATCTTTTTGTTCCGAACAAATTAAAAACCGGTTGGCGAGAAATTAGTCATAAATTATACATGAATTATCTGGATTCGACATAATTAAAAAATTATGCAGAAAAATTCATTCAAATGTATTCAGTTGGGTCGCCTCAGAGTGAGTACGAGGTTGATTTCTGCCCTTTGTGAAACTAGGTCCCAGTCTTCAGTTGAACTCTAACTCAGTAATGAAGTAACGCCTAGCGAATATTCGCACCACGGCTGCTGTTTGTTGATGTTGATCGCATGTTTTAGATTGTGATGGATGTTTTTAGAGCTAACTCTCTCAGATCACATCATTGTGTGCAGTTTTTTAGAGTTGTGAATAAAAGTCAACTGTTTCGAAGTTGGAAAGTGAAACCTCTCCAGGAATTTTGAATCAGAGTCCGTTCGCGGAACTGCGATAACAGCTGTTTGGAAAATTACTAGTAGAGTCCGGCAAAGCTGTACTGTTTGGAGATAAAATCTTATCATTTCCATTCAGAGATGAAACGAGAGGACCAAGAGTTGTTAGAGCGAGCTGAAGAGAAAGGGAATAACGAAGAAAAACCTCAGAGTGAAGTTGTCAAACAAGACGATTTCTTCGAAGATGAATTTGACAGAGAGTTTTGGGTCAAGGTAAGAAAGCCACTCTGTGTCCAAAAAAATTATAATTTAACACTTACTTAGTCAAAAAAGTTTTACACTGACAAGTGGTGCTCTTGTTGGAGAGAAAAATTAATAAGAGACAGATTGAATAACCCATTGTATTTGTCTAATATGGAATTTACCTTTCCGAATTCAGTGTAATATTTTTTTTATCATTTAATTCACAATCAGCATTTTACTGTAGATAATGTTTGATCCGAGGACGTCTTTAAATATAAGCCTCTTTCTTTTTTACTGTTATGATGGCTAGAAAGGTACATAACCTCAAAATCTGTTTCAGTTGGATTGATTAAAAATTTTATGATTTTGCTATTTATGATTTCGAAACAAACTGTCGGTTGAAATAGAGCTTTTTACTCTACAAGTTGAAGGAAAAAAATTGAGGGTAATGCCCGCAGAAAATCCTAGCTGAAAACTCAAGAACAAAACCTCTAGTAAAAAAACCTAAAACAGCTTGTTAACCCACGGATACAATAATTTATTTAAAGGTTCGTCAGAAACAGAGTGAAGGACTGTCATGGAGCACTGCTATGAATGAGGTGCGAGTTCAAAGATTGATCCAGAGATACAAAGATAATGGAAAACTGGACAGTGAGGATCCTGCTCTTGTGATGATAAAAACTTGGCCAACATCCAGAAAATACAAAGATAATCCTGATAAACTTCCAGGCCTTGAGCAGCTGGTATGTACGTTAAAAAGGGATTTTTACATGTGTATATAAATTCAAATTCACAAATTAGTGACATTATAATGCACAACTGGTGTTACAAATTTGCCAAGAACAGGACACACTCTGAGTGTTCATTAGGTAATGTTCTCTAGAGATTTTTTAACAGCCAGCCTTAAAGAAAATGAAAGAAACTCAGCATCAAAGGTTATTATTATACATTCCCTTTTGTCATACTTACAGACAATAAATTTTATGTCTGTAGAAGTGACGTTATACCTACAGACAGTAGTTTTATGCACTCTTGTCTTTACAAGTGCAGCTCAGGAATATGCATAATGAAACAACTATAGGATTTGGTTTTCACATGATAGTGATAATTATCAAGGCCTCAGTGTTATCCACCTCTGCCTTCGGCTTCGGGAGATTACACAAACTTTGGCCTTGATAATTATTGTTATCATGCTCAATGTCAGAAGGCATTCGCATCCGGGAACCAGTACCTATTTAAGATCTTAAGAAACAAAGTGAATCGAGAGCGCAAGCGCTGTTGGAGGGTCTATTATGAGAACAAGGTTGATGGCCTGTGTGCTTCCAGGCCTCGTAATTGGTGGAAAGAAGTGAAACAGCTTTGTGGCTCCACTAAATCTACTGAGTGCGATCTGAAATCCAAGCTCCACAAAGATCTCGTATG